GGCAGGGCTAGAAAGGTAGGCTGGACCCAGATTATGAAAGGCCTTGAATGCCAGCATAAGTAGTTTAAATTGTATTTCATTTAGAGTGGAAATCCCCTGAAGCCCTTTCCATAGGGGAATGATGTGATCAGAATAATGCATTTAGGGGGGCACCTAGGTGGTGCAGTGGATAAAGCACCAGCCTTGAAGTCAGGAGGACCTGAGTTCAAATGTGACCTCTGACCAAACACTTGACACTTACTAGCTGTGTGACCCTGGGCAAGTCACTTAACCCCAATTGCCAAAAAATTAAAAATTTAAAAATTAAAAAAAAAGAATAATGCATTAAGATTACTTGGTTATTAATTATAAAGGATGGTTGGAGTGAGGAGAGACTTGAGAAGAAGAGGTTATTACAATAGTTTAGATGAGTGGAAATAAGGGTTTAAATTAGAATATTCCCAGGATGGGATGGTAGATATGGAGTCAGGACATGGTTACTGCCGTTGAAGGAGAAGGAAGACTCAAAGACAGTCAAGGTTTTAAGGCTGGGGGGCTGACTGAAAGGATGATTTTAAAAGGTGAGTTTTGTCTATTGCTATCAATTCAAGCCAATATGCAAATTATAGTGCTGGAAAATAATTTATAATAATGATTACATTGAATTATCAATCAAAGATTATATTATAATCTTTACATCATGCCTACCTAGGCAGGAGAATGAATAATATATTTCAGAAAGATTTCCACCTAAAAGAGTTGAAATAACAAAATTTAAAAAAAGCCTGTATATTGTGCTTTAAGATTTGCAAATCACTTTACAAATATTGTTTTTGATCTTCACATCAACTGGGGGGGGTAAGTGCTATTATTATCATCCCCATTTTACAGAATTAAATGTTGACTCTTAAAATGTTAACAACCTTCAGTTAACCAGAAAGTTTTTTATTCCAGAATACCTCATTCCTTGACTATGTCAGAAAACTATAGTGTTGCTATACCACTAAACTGACAAGGACAGATTCTCTAGTTCCATAATATGTCCCATTTTTCAATGGGACATATTCAATGGTTGCCAAGACAACTTCTGCACTTTCAGTAATCACTTCTCAGGAAGAGCTATATACTTAAGTCACATGTGTATATATTCGTATGCTCTATAAGTTGCACTGATAAATGCTAATTATATGAGTTTATTAAATGGTAAAGTTTCTGTCTTATCGATTAGTATTTGGTGGTCTCTAAAATTCTGTCAAGACATTCCTTAAAAATTCCTGTACTGGTGGTGATGGGTTTTTTAAGTTATTTTTGTTTTGTGACAGTTTACTATTATTATTCTTGCTGATGTGGTGCTTGGGTGCTTATGCTTGGGTGCTTGTACTTGGACCCCAATTTCTCTCTAGCCTCAGAAACACTGTCCCTGACAGTTTCTCCCCAGCCCAAGGACCCTGTGTCTAGTAATTACTCAAGAGTGGGCCCCAGCAAGACCCTTATCTCTCTCCCTGGTGCAGTTACAAACAGCACCTGAAGGATTTATTAGTTTGAACTGGCTTTGCACTGGGTCATAAAGACATTTTTACCCACTGAACTATCTCCTACCACCCTACCTCATTATCTACATCCTGGGCTCCTCATTAACTGTATTCTAGACTTAAGACATATGTATACTCCCTACATCAATCTTGTCTAACAAGACATTGACTGGTGGCAGACTGGACAACTCTCAGTTACCCCTGAACTCTAGTTGACTTAGTGACGCAGCAGGCCTAAAACCACACCTCCATGTGGCCCCCCTTGTGGGCTTTTCCCAGTGAACTCTGGGTAAAACGCTTGCACAGTAGATACAACAAGTGTATGTTTCTTTAAGTACTGACCACTCCTCGACCACTCCCTAACCCCGCCCTGAATCACCTAGTTAGCATATTTGACACACGTCTTATCATATTTTATACTATATAAACTTTAACTATACTGTTTTAAGATTGCAGGTTCCTTAAGAATCCTTGCCTGCTGAAAAGTGTAACAATAAACTTTTTTGCAACTTGGCTTAAGATTGCTTGAGTTTGTGAATTCATTCCAGATGACCCATTTTGTACTTTGGTTTTTTTGAGGGGTCCCAACCTCTCAAAACCTCATCATTGCCACTACTCTAGATCTTTTGAACATTCTTTAATATGAGACATGCTGTCATCTTTAAGGCATCCCATAACAATCATACCAAAATTATCAATGTAACAAGTCTCCAATCTGCTATTCTTGTTATTGCTTTGTTTATAATTCAGAAGAATTTGGTTTTATATGATGCTGATTAGCAAAGTGATTTATAATAATCTATAATAAACATACTGTTTTCCTGGATGGCTGGCTTTCTCTTCCTCCATTTTTATGTTGTTATTATTATTTAGTATTAAATCTCAAAAGTGTTAATTAGGTATAATAGAAATAGCACTGAACTAAAAATACTGGAGACCAGAAGTCTGAACCTAGTTCTACAACCAACTAGTTGTCTAAACTCAAGCAAGTCACAGCTTCTCTGTGCCATAGTTTTCTTAATAGTAAAATGAGGGAGTTAAGCTAGATCAATCCACATGTCCCTTCCAATTCTGGCATCTTTTTCCTTAAATCACATTAACAGTATAAGTCCCATTTGGAAATATGTAATCAAATACTTTATAATAGTAGTTCTGGGACCTTTCCTGTGGTTTCATCAGTGTAATTTAATTGTGGTGAGGAACTTCCTCCACCCAGAGCAGACTGGCTCATGGTCTCCAGTGTTGTAGTCATTGAGAGGTTCCAGTGCAACAGCTTGGCCAGGATCATACAACTATGATGTATCATATGTGGGACATAAACAAGAAATAGAAATGATGATCAATTTTGTAAACTAGAAACTCTAGCTAGCAACCTACTTCTAAGTTTTTGATATCTTGTTTTATACAAATGTTTCATTCTATTTTACAATAGGAACCAAGTCTTTTCATGTTTTCTTTTAATTTTGTGTGTAATCTATATGTAAACTTTCCAATCTTGTCAGAAAGCCTGAGCCATTGTGATAATAGCTAGCATTTATGGAGAGCTTGAAGGTATGCAAAGCACTGTACATATTATATTGTTTTATCCTTAAAACAATCCTGGAAGGTAGTTCCTTTTATCATCCCACTTTTACAGATAAGGAAGCTGAAGTAGGTAGAAGTTAAATGACCTGCTCATGGTCACACAGTGATAAGTGTCTGAGACTGTATTTGAAGGCTAGTCTTCCTGACTTAAATCCAGAATTCATATAGGTACATAGAAATATAGGTGTCCTATTTTTCTTCTTCCTAAATAACATCAGAAACCATTTGATCTAGTAGATTTGGGCCCTGATATCTAGCCTAGATTTATCACTGACCTAATATAGTATCACTTTACTTTTCTATTTCTATGTCTACAAAATTGGTGAAATAATGTTTTCTCTCTGTTCACTTCCAAGACACATAAGAAATATTTAAATGCTAATGACGGTTTCTATAGATGAGATCAGAATGTATGACTCCCACCAAACTGGAGGTACATTAACTTCTTCAGAAGACTTGGACTTCCTTTCAGCAAGGGCCCCCTGCATTCCCCAAATGTTGCAAACATGAGAACCACTATTGTGTTCTGTTTCACAGCCCTGGTAACCTTTTGAAAGATTCTGTAAAGGGGATCTGCCCACCAATATCTCCCCTCCTAAAATGGTATTTGAACAATCAGTAACTACTTAAAAATTTTATTGATACAGTGAGCATAATGGTATTTGAAATGTTAAGATACTATTAGCTAGTTAACACATTAGATATTCTCTCATTAGGTTGAAAGGATGAGAAAGAGGAGAAAAAGTTGAGATTAGATCATAGAGGAAGAAGAGAAAAGTCCTAGAACATTAATTGTAAGCAATAAAATATTTTATTACAGCCCTTGTACAACTTTAAGATGGATACCTGAAGGGTTCTAATATCAGTGATAGTAATGGATCTGAAAACTGAGCTGAAAAAAGTACTAAATAAGACTGCTTACAATATAATTTTGCCAAGGGCCACCCCCTGACTATATGTTTACAAACAAATGAATCTGCATATCTTTCTAAATATAATAAAATATATTTGGAAGTAGAATTTTAGAGCTGAAGGGGAACTTTAGAGATCATCAAAATGCCTTAAAAGATGAGAAAAAATAAAGCCAGGAATGTCATTTATCTTACCCAAGGTCACACTTCTGTTAAATAGTGGAGAAAAACTAGGGTCCAGACCTCTTGACTCTTCTAGTACAGTGAGTGTTCTTTCCATTACACCCAGAATGTCTTACCTTCAATTTTTTTTTTAAATTATCTACATTAGCTTTTATATTTGAAGGTATGTGAAATTTTGACAATCCACAGGTCATGAATCTTTTTTTAAGTGATCATATAGCGTTTGTGTTATGATTTATTACATTATTTAAATGGACATACTATATTTCATTTAATTTTTTTTTCTTTTCTAGCGTATGCAGAATGTGACTTAAACTTACAAACATCAGGTTTCTATTTATTTGTTTATACATTTTTTTCATTTAAGTTCTGTTAACAATTTTAAATGTCATTCATTGCCTTTTGTTTTCACCTATTGTTTCATTGCATACTATTTATCTTCTCTTTCACCCTGTACTTGAGGGAATGACCAAAGTCTTATTCTACTTCATTTAGCACAGTGCTGGTGAGTGTACTGCTATGCACTTAATACGTCTTCTTGGTTGGTTGGTTGATATAATCACTTAATAATTGGATTTCCTAATTCTGTAATATGAAATTTGGGATACTGACTAAATTTATGTTGTCTTCATTTGATTTATCAGATGCTATAATTGTTTGATATCTTATTGCTGAAGGATAGCTTCATTCTTTGCAATTGTACCCCCAGTACCTAGCATAGTTCCTGGGACATGTTAGTGTCCAATAAATACCTGTTGAATGATTAATTGATTGACCCAAATTGATTTGTTTATTTTTATTTGTGTTGTAGGTGGTGGTGAATGCGCTTTTAGGAGCAATTCCTTCCATTATGAATGTACTACTTGTCTGCCTCATATTCTGGCTAATTTTTAGCATTATGGGAGTAAATTTGTTTGCTGGCAAGTTCTATGAGTGCATTAACACCACAGATGGCCAGAGGTTTCCTGTAAGTGTGGTTGTGGATAAGGACCAGTGTGAACAACTCAAGAATAGTAGCAATGATGTGCGGTGGAAAAATGTGAAAGTGAACTTCGATAATGTTGGAATTGGTTACCTTTCTCTACTTCAAGTTGTAAGTAATACTTTTTTCAAGAAATGTATATCTGTCTTGTGTAGTATACTAATATTTCAAGATAACATGCTTTTGTTAAGTTTGATTGTAAGCTAAAAATGAAAATGAAATTAGATACATGTTTAGATATAGCTTTTTAATGATTATTTAAGATAATATCCCTTTGATATATGATAGAAATTTAAGTGCCAAGCATGAATTTTACAGATTTTTTTTTGCATATCCTAGATATTAGTATATTTTCTCTGTGTTGTTTGATTTTTTTAAGTGGAATTGACATGGGTGCAGTGTTAGTCAAAGAAATTAAATTGTAATTGTGATATTTTAGATGTTAGTGGGAAAGTTCCGGGGGATGGGGAAGGGTTGGTAGGAAGCCTAGGCAGCTTTTAACTCATACAACCTAACAATCAACTAAAAAAAAAAAGACTGAAGTAATTTACTCCTCAGATTATACAGATAGTTTTTCTCTTCTATACTTCTCTGTCCCACCCTCACACCCTTAACCAAAACTCACCTGATCCCAGTTTAGAAGACAGTATTAAACATAATTTTGGGCTCATCACTCAACTAATCCTATCTGATTCATTTGACAGCCATCCAGACATTTATGGGAGTTGGTGGAGGTTGGACATGGAGAAAAGATGGGGAAGGATAGAGTGGAAGAAAGGCAAGAAGAGGTGAAGATAGAGGCAGGAGAGATGCTAGTTTTAGCCAAACCAATTTCCAGCAAAGGCTTTCTGCCCCAAATCAAAAGCAGCGTTTATAGTTCATTCCATTCTTAGTACATTAATGTCCATGGGACCCACCCCACTTCCACATACATATGTATTTGTATGTATGTATACACACACACACACACACACACACACACACACACACACACCTTTTAGGACCAATGGAATATAGTATAGTAACTGTGGAGGGGGCGTTGCACAGAAGCCCAGTGTATTCTGTAGAAGAGGGGGAAAGTTCTCTCTCTCTTTCCCTAGAAAAATGTATTGCCACTATTAACAGATAATTATGGCATTTAGGTAGTAGTTACTAAGCTGGAATATTATGGAAAATTTTAACTTTATTTAATATAGAAAATTTTTACATTAAATTTTGGAGAATGCAATTAAAATGAATATTTAGTATTAAAACAGTTTTTTGAAATGTCACTAGACTTACATCAACAAAAGATTTTAATTGCCCTACATAAAAATAAAAGCTTTTATTTGTTCTAAACTATTAACTTCACACATAAATTTAATAAATGTCATGTTTTTTGTAGGCCACATTTAAAGGATGGATGGATATTATGTATGCAGCTGTTGATTCAGTTAATGTAAGTATTGGACAATCTATCACCTGCAACCAACATATATCTTAACTGCTTCCCAAGCTATTTGCTAAGGCCCGCTTCATAGGTATTGGCATTATTGCAAAGACTCTGGTCTCATTAAATGATTCTGCATAATAAAAAAACAAACATGCTTTCCATAGACTGAATAAATAGTATATCTCATAGATATGTAATACTGTTTTTCAAATGTATGAAGATGCTGATATAATTTAATAAGAATTCATTTGAATTCTTTTTGCTATCATGTATTTTCTCAATTGGTTAAAAGTCCAGCTACTACTCTGTGAGAGTCTACAAACATTTTTTTACATTAAAAGGGGAACATTTGTGCAACAAAGACTTGAGAACTAATGGTTTACCTCATATCCTCGAAGTTCTAATGTCATTTATGTAACTAGATGAAGGATGAAAATGTTGACATTATTAACTTGGCAGATTTTATTTAATAATGATGAATTCAAATTAAAGTCATGTTTCAGATCTTTACTTATTTATCAATTAGCAGCTCTAGGATCTGGTAGTATATATAGTTCCAGCCTCATCCCATTTGTCTGTTCAGAGTTTACAGGAATATTGAAGAGTTGCTAAGTCTAGATGATGAAATTTTTAAAAATAAACCATGGCAGAATGCTAGTCTCTCTATATCAAAGCAGAATTATAACCTCCAAAAGAGCATCATTTGAATAATTTTTCTAATTGTTATTGTATAAAATTGAAATTGCTACTCAAACTTAGTGTCTCTATATTGCTAATTCTTGCTAATTTTATAGATAAATCAGCAGCCCAAGTATGAAGAAAGCCTCTACATGTATCTTTACTTTGTCATCTTTATCATCTTTGGGTCATTCTTCACTTTGAATCTCTTCATTGGTGTCATCATAGATAATTTCAATCAACAGAAAAAGAAGATAAGTATTCCAAACATTTTGTCATTGTCCTGAGTGTGTGGGTATGTATATGCAGGGTATCCCAAAAGTCTTAGTACAGTTTTAAAAGCTTAAAACTTCATTAAAACTTTTGGAACACTTTAAATATGCATCATATATGAAATATATATACATACATGCATATATATGTAAGCTTAAAACCTTCAATCTGTTTAGTGTATCATCATTTGAAATATTCTCATTAAAAGAGCCATTGCTTATTCAAATTATTTGTAAGAATGAGTAAAAAGTTAATGTTATTTCATTCATTTATATGGCAAAAATGTTTATTTCCTCTTCTTGTACACACTGACATAATATAACATTTTAAAAGATTACTTAATTACAATTCTAATTGCAAAAAATAAAGGTGAAAAATAAAAATGTTCAATTCATAAGTATTTAAGTGAGGAGAGACAGATGAGGAAAGCATCTCTGTCTAAAATCAGGGAATTAAAAAGTGAATAGGGGCCAATAACCACAGCAGGGAAGATAACTTAGCAAAATATTGGATTATTCTTCTATATTTTCATTTTCAAAGCTAATTGTGTCTTTAAATGGGGTCTGACTTAACTTTAGTTAGCCCTTAATAAAAGTATCTATGGTTAACATTTCCCAAGTAAGTTTAAACTTCTAAGCCTCTATTTCTATACATGAATGCCAACTTCAACTAACATCTGCATGGATTGGCACTTATTTGTAATCAAATATTTTATTTAAAGTAGTTAATCATCCCTGATAATGGAATTGTAGGTGAGGGTTCAATCCTGCATTATTCTAATGATAAGAATTATGTATTTATTTCCCTCGGGAAAAAAAAAGTATTTTATAACAAAAGAACCGTATTTCCCAAATTTGCTAAATATTTCACCTAGCTGTCAACATTAATGAACATCACCAGCACTTCAACTATATCCACACTTAGTTATATGGCTGTAGCGCACTTAATGTATATTAAATTTCAAGTGATTCAGGATGAAGCATTTGCATAGTCTCGGTAGCTATGTTATTATGTTATCCCCTTCTTCACACCCATTGCTCCTCAAATCCTGGGAGCATCTTGTATTACTGGGATTGCTATTACAGGCAGGACTATATGATGAGAAACCAACTAATGTGATTGGAGGCCAACTGGAAATGTTAGTCAATGATTCCTAAATCCTCATTTTTCATTAATTTGCCATCTACTTTGCTTTGCTTTTCTAGATTCATACCTTTTTCTCCTAGTTTCTTTTTCTGTCTAACAGGCTTTGGTGTCTTTCCTAATACCTTTTCCAATAAGCATCCTTTCCTTACTTGATAATTTCCACTTTTTAAGCTTTTCCCATCCCAATAACATCACCCCTCCACTTCTTTCTGCCCATCATCTGTATAAATATTGAACTCTACTTAGGAAAATCAGGCATAATAATTCCTTGTATTTAAGTATTGAATCGAATCATTGACACCAGTTGCAAAGGGAAGGGAAAAACAAGCATTAATTAAGCCCTTACTCTGTGCCAGGGATACGAATAAAAACAAAACCAAAGACAGTCACTGCCTGTACAGAACTTTCATTCTAATGGGAAGAATGTGCATGGCATATTTGAGGAACCTTTTGGCTAGAGAAGAAGCTTTATGCAAGGCAATTAGTAGCAAAGATAAGGTTAACCGGCCCTGGATTCAGGAGGACCTGAGTTCAAATCCGGATTCAGACACATAACACTTACTAGCTGTGTGACCCTGGGCAAGTCACTTAACCCCAATGCCTAAAAAACAACAAAAACCAAAAAAAAAAAAATAGAATGTCTTATGTGGGGGCTTTAATCCTATAGAGGACATCTTCTTTGGGGCATCTAGGTGGCGCAGTGGAGAGAGCACGGGCCCTCAAGTCAGGAGGACCTGAGTTCAAATCCAGCCTCAGACCAAACACTTGACACTTACTAGCTGTGTGACCCTGGGCAAGTCATTTAACCCCAATTGCCTAAAAAATAAATAAATAAAAATAAAAATAAAAAAGATAGGGTTAGAACTAGATTGGATTTACATTGTTGAATGCCTTACGTGCCAGGTTAAAAAGTTTGTATTTTATTCTATGAATGGTGGGGAGCCATAAAGATTTTTGAGCAGGAGAATGATATATTCAAGATAGTATTTTAGAAAAAATTAACATGAAAATTATATATAGGATGGATTGGAGAGAGAAGAAACTAGAGATAGTAACACCAGTTAGAAAACTACTGTGATAGTCCAGGCATAAGGAGATATGGAAGTCAATTATGGTGGTTCCAGTGGAAAGGGACAGATGATAGATGTTGCTCAATTCTTGAGAGGCAACATACCCTATATTTTATTTTTTGTAAAAAATTTCAGTGTAAATATCAAGAATCATTATGGTATATTAGAACTGTTATATCAAGTATTGGACTTGAAGTCCTGCCTTTAATGCATTATGACAATGAGCAAGTCACTTATACTCTCCAAATCATACTTAAACTAATATTCATTGCAGCCCTCTTGACACAGTAGAGACTTAGTAAATATAGATGACAGAGAAATCTCAAGCATGATTTAATACTAAGATAGTAGGAGGACAGAGCTAAGATGGCAGAGAAAAGGTAGGAACTCTCCTGAGCTCTCCCAAATTACCCTCAAACCAACTTTAAATAATATCTAAAAAAAATTCTGGAGTGACAGAACCCACAAAGGGACAGGTTGAAACAATTTTCCAGCCTGAGATAACTTAGAAGTTTGGCAGGAAAGGTCTGTTGCACCAGGTAAGAGTGGAGCACAAAATGTCTGTGCAGGTGGCACCTCAACAAACCAGGAGCAGGTCCTGGAGGTAACTGAAGTACCTGTGGTTACTTTAGGGACTTAGCCCACAGATGATAAGGGGGTGAAACAGCAAGTCAGAAGGGGTCCCTTTTCTGGCACTAGGAGAAAAACTTTGTTGCATTGCCCTTAATCAGATCTGGGTCACAGTTCCAGGGTGAGGAGAAGCACTAACACAACAGAGCTTGTGGCCACAGGGGAATGGGAATCCTGGTCACAGTGTCAGTGCAGAAAAGTGCTTGTGGTCACTCACAGACTACCGCACAGGTCAGGATAGTAATAAACATACCTCACCTTAGATCACTATCTTGGCCAAAGTGAAAATTTATAGATCCCCGCCCCAGAACTAGCTCTGAAAATTGCTGCACAAAATAGCTGAATTTGGGACAGTACCTGCTCCACCTTGGGAGCAGAGTCCAACTGTAATATCAAGTTAAAAGTCAAGAAATAGCCTGGGAAAATAAGAAAACAACAACAACAAATCCTGACCATAGAAAGTTGCTATGGTAATAGGAAAGATAAAACACAAACTCAGAAGAAAACAACAAAGTCAACACTGCTACATCCAGAGCCTCAAAAAAAAAAAAAACACTTATTGGACTCAGGCCATGGACGCACTCAAAAAAGGATTTTAAAAATCAAATAAGAGATGGAGAGGGAAAACTGGGAAAATAAATGAAAGTGATACGAGAAAATCATGAAAAATGAGTCAACAGCTTTGTAAAAGAGGCACAAACAAGATTGAAGAAATAATATCTTAAAAAACAGGATAGGCCAGTGGTAAAAGAGGCATAAAATCCTGTGAAGAGAAGAACACCTTAAAAAGCAGAACTGGCCAAAAGGAAAAAGATATACAAAAATTTACAGAAGTAAAGAATTCCTTAAAAAGTAGAATTGAGCAGGTAGAAGCAAATGACTCCATGAGACATTAAGAAGGAATAAAAGAAAAAAATGAAAAGAAAATAGAAGAAAATATGAAATACCTCATTGGAAAAAAAAAACTGGAGGCAGCTAGGTGGCATAGTGGATGAGTACCGGCCCTGAAGTCAGAAGGACCTGAGTTCAAACCCAGCCTCAGACCAAACACTTGACACTTACTAGCTGTGGAACCCTGGGCAAGTCACTTAACCCCAATTCCTTAAAAAGAAAAAAAAACAACTGACCTGCAAAATAGATCCAGGAGAGATAATTTAAAAATTATTGGACTACCTGAGACCCATGATCAAAAAAAGAGCCTAGACATCACCTTTCAAGAAATTATCAAGGAAAACCATTCTGATATCCTAGAACCAGAGGGTAAAATAGAAATGGAAGGAATCCACAAATCACCTCCTGAAAGAGATCCCAAAATGAAAACTCTTAGGAATATTATAGCCGAATCCCAGGTCAAGGAGGAAATATTGCAAGCAGCCCAAAAGAAACAATTGAAATATCATGGAGTCACAATCAGAATAATACAAGAGTTAGAAGCTTCTACATTAGAGGATCAGAGGGCTTGGAATATGATATTCTGGAGAGGAAAGGAGCCAGGATTACAACTGAAAATTACCTACCCAGCAAAACTGAGTATAATCCATTGGGAGAAAAAAATGGATATTCAATGAAATAGAGGAGTTTCAATCATTCCTAATGAAAAAATCAGAGCTGAATAGAAAAATTGACTTTCAAATAGAAGACTCAAGAGAAGCATAAAAAAGTAAGCATGTTAGAGAAATCATAAGGGACTCAATAAATTTAAACTGTATACAATCCTACACAGGAAAATGATACTTGTAACTCAAGAACTTTCCCATTATTAGGGCAGATAGAAGAGTTGTACATAGACAGAGGGTGAGTTGAATAGGATGAGATGATATCTGAAAAAATGAAGGGGTGAGAAAGAGGAATGCACCAGGAGAAAGGGAAAGGGAGAGGTAGAATGGGGCAAATTAGCTCACATACAGAGGCACGAAAATGTTTTTACAGTGGAGGGGAGAATAAGGGAGGTAGGGGTAGGGAATACTTGAACCTCACTCACATGGGAAGTGGCTCAAAGAAGGAATAACATACACGCTTAGTTGGGTATAGAAATTTGTCTTACTCTACAGGAAAGTAGGAGGGGAAGGAGATAAAAGAAGGGGGATGATGTTGATAGGGAGGGCAAAGTAGGGGAGGCAGTAGTCAGAAGCAAAACACTTTTGAGGATGGACATGGTGAAAAGAGAGAGGTAGTAAAATAAGCAGGGGGAAATAGGATGGAGAAAAATATAGTTAGTAATCATAACTCTGAAAAAAAATTTACAGCAAGCACCTCTGACAAAGGCTTCATTTTTCAACTACATAAAAAACTGAATCAAATTTATAAAAACAAGAGCCATTCCCCAAAATGAATAGTCAAAGGATATAAATGAGCAGTTTTCAGATGAAGTAATCAAAGCTATTTATAGTCACATGAAAAAGTGCTCTCAATCACTATTGATTAGAGAAATGCAAATTAAAACAATCCTGAGGTGCCATATCACACTTATCAGATTGGCTAATAGGACAGAAAAGAAAAATGACAAATGTTGGAGGGGTTGTGGGAAAATTGAGACACTAATGCGCTGTTGGTAGAGTTGTGAACTGATTCAACCATTCTAGAGAGCAATTTGGAACTATGTCCAAAGGGCTATAAAACCAATTCATACCCTTTGACCTAGCAATACCACTACTAGGTTTGAATCCCAAAGAGATTAAAAACAAAAAGGAAAAAGACATGCACAAAAATGTTTATAGCAGCTCTTTTCTTTGCAAAAAAAATTAGAAATTGAGGGGATACCCATCAATTAAGGAATGGCTGAACAAGTCATGGTATATAATTGTGATGGAATACTCTTGTGCTATAAGAAATGATAATCAGGATGCTCTCAGAAAAACTGGGGAAGACTTACCTAAAACTAATGCAAAGTGAAATGAGCAAAACCAAGAGAACATTGTACACAGTAATAGCAATATTATGTAATAATCAACTGTGAATGACTTAGCTATACTCATCAATACAATGATCATTCTGAAGGACTTATGATAAATAATGCTATCTTTCTCCAGAGAAAGAACTGATGGAATCTGAATGCAGACTGAAGTATACTTTTTTAACTTTATTTTTTCCTGACTTTTGTTTTTTGGGGGGAGGGTCTGTGTTGTGTTTTTTTTTTTTTGTAGTGTGGCTAACATGGAAATATGTTTTGCATGATTGCACATGTATAACCTATATCAAATTTATTGCCTTCTCAATGAGGGGAGAAAGGAGGAAGAGAATTTGGAACTCAAAATTTTAAAAAAAGGATTGTTAAAAATTGTTTTTACATGTAATTGGAAAAAAATAAAATACAAAATAAATTTTAAGAAATAGTAAGGTAGTAAACAAATGCTATCTCTAGTAAAAAAATGATTAAAATGGGTTAAAATTATAGTTAAGAAGAAATTCATAACATGTAGTAGGAATCAGTAATCTTTAGAGATGTGAACTCATGGTAATACACACACACACGAAACATATATATGCACACATTCCAGCTCATCTTTAGGGCAGAGCAATTATCATTCATCCCCTCTTATTCATTCTATATACATACATACATACATATACATATATACACACACATACATATATACACATATATACATATATTGTATGCATATACATACAAATACATATGTGTGTGTATATGTATACAGTATATAGTATATAGTATATGTATATATAGACCCTAAGAAGCAGCACCAACGAGCACCTCAGGCCTTCCAGCTTTCCAAAGGTAACTCCGCATGCTTGACGGCTAAGTGGCATTGTATTGTCAAGAAGACCTGAGAGTGCTGAGTTGGTAACCCCCACAGATCCTCTGTGATCTCATTAATGTGGCTATGTCTTCCCATTTTACTCCTAGAATCTTGTTGTTTCTTAGCCATTTGTCAAACATAATTATCTCTGAAATCATCTCTATCATAGAATCCTGTATAATTTTAACATATGCATGAGAGGAAGCTTATTTGAAGAGAATCTTTATACGTTTTCTTCTGCCAAGTCAGTTGTGATATTCTTAGAACTCTCTTCTTGGGACAGCTAGGTGCCGCAGTGAATACAGCTCTGGACTTGGAGTCAGGAGGACCTGAGTTCAAATCCAGCCTCAAACGCTTAATACTTACTAGCTGTGTGACCTTGGGCAAGTCACTTAACCCCAATCAACTCACCAAAAAAAGCAAAGACAGACAAACAAACAAAGGAACTCTCTTCTTACCCCTTTGCCACTCTAGCACTAGGACTGTGAACTGTTTTGCATCTTTGTCCATTTTGTTGGTCACCTCAGCCAAAACAGTTTATTGCCTGATGACCAGATTTCTGGTGAAAAGCCTCTCCAAAATTAGCTAGGTAGACTCATCTATGGGTTCATACTCAAGATTCTTTCCAGCTTGATAAAGTTTACTAGAATTTTTACTATGTATGCACATTTTTCAAGAACCTAGGAAAACTTTCACAGTTATGGATCCATGCTGCCAATTTCTCTTTCCTACTTTGTTCTAAAATGCCAGAGATGACAAATTAAATCATTACTTGCAAATTGTGAGTACCATGTGTTAAGAGTTTTCCAATTTCTCCACTAGCAGCTCAAGGGAGGCAGCAAGATTTTACAGAGTAACACCAGAACTTCAGTATTTTCAAAATGATAAATTTGGACAATAAGATTACGAAGTAGTGATGGGGAACTTTAATTATTTAGACATTTACTGGAGCATTGTCTGCGAAAAGCAAAGGAGTTTCTAATTTCCTGAGCTGCCAAATGAAAATTTCAAATAAAAAAAAGTATAGGAACCAAAAGGTGGCCATTTTATCCAGCAAGAAAAAAACTGGTTATTGGAGTGAAAATGATGGAAATCTTTGGGGAAAGTGACGATTCCACCTTGAAGTTTATGGTAAAGAATGAAAAGAAAACTAGGAATGATCAAACATGCATCTTAGATATTAGAACAGACTTCAAAGGGGAGGGATGTGTAGGACTTCTTAAAGAATTATGAAAAGGACAAAAGGAGGTGTTGTCAAAAAAACCAGATATTGATGCATGAGGAATTCATCATTTAATAAGTATTTGTTGATTATCCACCAAGTAATGTGACAGACTATGACCGTAGCCAGCGTAGCCACAGAGTGAGAATTAATTCCCTCATTTATTTAGATCAGGGGTCTGCTCAACTCTGCCTGTTTTAATACATCTGGGGAGCTAAGAATGTTTTTTACATTTTTAAATAAAATTTTATTCTTAGCTCTCAGGCCATCCAAAAACAAGTGGTAGGCCAGATTTGGGCCACTGATCATTGTTTGCTGACCCCAGATTTAGATATTATTTTATTGCTATTAAAATATTAAAAGGTTGAGGTTTAATTTCTTTGTTAAAAATAGTTCAACTTCTATATCTTATGGAAGTCTAAGTTCTTTGCATCCCACTTTTTTAATCTTTAAAATGAGAAGGTCAGATTAAATTTTTATATTTATTTATATTACTTTTACTTACATTTTATATTGTAATATATAATTATGTTCATACAATTATAATTATACATGATTGTATCTATAAATAATATATAGTTTTATATATAGCTGAAATATATTACTTATTTTCCTCAGTTACTCATATTTCATGTCCCCAGAACTATTTCATTACTATGATAAATACACAATTCAGCCCAGTGCATGTATTTATACATAGAGAAATTTCATTGTTTTTCTTTGCTAATAGAGAGATAGTGTATTACAACTAAACCAAGGCTTTCCTTGAGCTATTGGTTTCAGCTTCCTCCACAAGTCCATAAATGTGAGCCACATCACAAAACTAGATTTTTTTCCTATTTTTTTCCTCGCTATCCAACAGGGTACACAATGAGGAAAGCATTATTAAGCCACACTCCATATTACTCTACCAGTAGATATCTAAATTTATCACTATATTTATATTATAAATATTTTACATGTATGAATGCCATACATATCCTCATCACAAAAAATTACAAAAGAAAGCTAACAAGAGGTAATTTGGAATCATGTGGTAAGCAGTATATATCGAAAATATGCAGATCTTTAAAACATATTACATAAAGATACAACATATTTAATGAATCCCATTCCTTAGGAGCCAAATTTTGTACTATCATTGTTCTTGAAATGTTTATTAAGAATTTGGAGGAAATTAAGCCAATAAAGCTGGTTTTAAATAGTTTTATTTTATTTCTTTACCTTGGAGGCCAAGATATCTTTATGACAGAGGAGCAGAAGAAATACTACAATGCAATGAAAAAGCTGGGGTCCAAGAAACCACAAAAGCCAATACCCAGGCCAGGGGTAAGCAAAATGTTATATCCCAGTTATCTGGAATTTCAGAAGACTTTTTGGAGGGCTTTCTTTAGAGTGGGAGTTATTAACCTGGCATCCATGAAGTTATTGTTTGTTTTGTTTTGATTTTTAAATATGTTCTTAACGGTATTTCCATGTAATTGCTTTCCTCTGTAATTTTATGTAACTTATGCATTCAAAAGTGTTGTTCAGAGATGGGCTTCATAGGTTTCAACAGGTGGTCAGAGAGATCTATGACATACAAAAAAGGTTAAGAACCACTGGTTTTTATAAGATTAAATTAACGTGTATTTTTTTTAAAGTTCTGAACAAAAGGCCTATTCATTCCTCCCTCCAAAAAAAACAAAAACAAAAACCCACCAACAACATACTGGCTAGCATTGATATGACTCATTCTCCTACAGTGGTAGTAATATGATAATAGATTATATTTCAGTTGTTACTGAAGCTAAACTATTACTCATCACTTGGTGTAGGGGCCTATAAAAAGGCCTATATTTGTTCTAATGATGTCCTGTTTGTTTTAGGTTTAGAAATTAGTAACCATTTTAAAGTTACTGATAAAAATCTATTATCAGTGAAAAAATGAAGATTGAAGTGTGTGGCACTGTGCATTATAACATCTGTAAATTTTAAAATTTTTCTATATACATACACACATGCAAACTTTGGTTTTTAATCTCAATAATATACTCTTCTATAAAGGAACTTGCTATAATTTTATATTGTAATATTCCAGGAGAAATTGCCAGGTAGACATAAGGGTGAAGGTGATTAAAGGGTAACCCCTGACTCCTTCTCAGAAGGGGGATCAAACATGAATTCCTTCCTACTTGTATAAGTAGGACAGCTCTAAAAGAGATTTTTGGTCCTAAAGAAGATAAAATAGTTTTTAATCTTTATTGGTGCATTTAACTTTCTAAGCATATTTGAAACTGTCCTTTGATTCTTATCTTCATAATTAGACAGTCAAATTGTTGGTACCTATAGTGAGTCCAGTGGACACATATTATTGACTAAAGAATCCTAGTCATAAAAAATATGAAAGAAAAAGCTAACAAGATGCATTTTGAATGCTATGTATATATATGTAAGAAGTGTGTATGCACAACTATAATATATATGTTCTAAACCCAGAAGGGGTAGGAAGATTATGTAATGTTGCGTGACTGTACATGTACAACCTATGTCAGATTCTTTGCCTTCTCAGTGATGCAGGGTAGGGGAAGAGAGGAAGAGAGAGAGAAAATTTGGAACTCAGAATCTGAAGAAAAAAGAATTGTTGTAAATGTTTTTACATGTAATTGGGGAAAAATAAAACATTAATTTTGTTTTAAAGGAAATATCATGTAATGAAGGTGAAGCCATATATTATATATAATATATATATATATAGTTATATATAATAGTGTTATTTATAGGAGGCTGAAAGGGGAAATTATCAACACCATCAAGCCATGCCCCACAGAAGCCTCTAAGTAAATGTTGCCTAATGATGCTGGGATCTTAAAGTCAACATCAATATATTTTAATACAGTAAACACTGGAATGCCTACATGCTAAAGGAATTCAGGTCAAGTTGTAGGTATTCTGCCATTCTATTCCTTCCACATAATTTTCATGAAAATTGGGGATAACAAAAGTATGTTTAGTATAGACAATGATGCCGTTTCTCTGATACTATTGGTATAAGAGTTAGTGGATTTAAGTGCAAATATTTTAAAAAGGTAAGTGGCTACTTTACTATATGGATATGATGTCCTTGTTATAAGAAAACCTGTAAAAAGAAATTGAAATTTGTAAAATGGGTCCATTAGCAGAATATTCTTTACATTTTGAAACACTAATCAAAAATTAACCACATAGTTTATTTTTTTAAAAAAAGTCATTTTAAAATCACCCTAATTTCCTCAGTCCTATCTTCTTTTTAATATATAAGGTGACTCAAAAAATCTTAGTGCTATTTTAATCTTTAATAACTTCAGGAGTACAACTTCTACAAACTTTTTTAAAAAACTGAAAGGTAAATAGTTTTCATTTTAAACATGGATATGTCTTATTAAAGTTCAACATAACTGCCATCCTGTGCAACATGTCCTTCCAGTGATTTTCAAACTTTGCAAAAACTGTCATCAGCTGCTACTGCTTAGAGACTGAAAGGATTACATTTGTAAGCCTAGCCTTAACATCAACCAGAAAATGAAGTTTTGACGCATAAATGACAATTCTGACAGAATTCCACAAGAAAAGGACTAATAGAGATAAATTAGGTGACCAAAGTAGCCAAGCAAGATGACCTTTTCTACCAATCCATGATGGAGAAAGTGTCATCTTGAAACTGTCACACACAGGGGAACTCAATCTTTTAAAATCAAAATTTTTTTAAAAATGTTATTTAAAATTTATAATACTAAATTACTGTAAAAGAAATTTAAATAAAATTTCAAGATGTTTTTGTATTTATTTATACTTCTGAGTCTATTAAAACTTAAAACTGCATTAAAACTTTGGAATATCTTGAATTTTATGAAGTTTTTAAAATCTTTATCTACATCTATGTGTAGAATATAGATATAGATATTTATTGTCATTCATTTTTATATGACCGTAATTTCCCCCACCTCGAGCATCTCTTTAGCAAATAAGTTTATTGACCAAAAAGAAAGGAAAACAAAAAAAGGGTTGGCAAAAAATCAGCAAAAACTAATCAATACATCAGAAAAATCTTGTGCAATGTATCACAGTTGTGCACCTCACACCTCTGCAAAAGGGGAAAAGGGGAAAAGGAAGGTGGTATCTTCTCATATCTTTTTCTTTCAAGCCATGCATGTTTTTTTTTTATTTTTGTAATATTTACATATGATATTTTTTGTGGTTAACTTTCCCATTATATTGTTGTGGTTACTGCATATATTTTGTTCTTGGCTCTGTTTACTTCATTACTACATATCAGTTCATATATATCTTTCCATGCATCTCCCTATTATTAATATTCATCATTTCTTATAACACAGCAATATCCCATCACATTCACATTGCACAATTTGTTTAGTCATTCTTCAATTCATAGATATTTACTTTATTTTCAGGCCTTTGCTGTCATAAAATGCATTGATGGTGTAGATTTTGTTCTTGTCCTTGGTCTTTTGGGGGTATAAGTCTGGTAATGGATTCTCTAGATCTCTAGATCAAAAGATATGGACATGATAGTCACATTATATGCTTTCCAGAATTGTTGTACTGATCCACAGCTTTACCAACAATGTGCTACTAGGCCTACCTTCCCACAACTTTTCCATCTTTGAATATTGCCGTCTTTTGTTGTGTTTGCCAAATTACAGAATGTAAGTTGAAACTTCAGGATTGTTTTGATTTGTATTTCTCTTATTCTTAACAATCTGGATCATTCTTTAATATGGTTATTAGTAGCATGAAACTCTTTTGAGAATTGTTTACTTATATCCTTTGATCAATTATCTATTGAGAAATGACTAATAATTTCCTTACGAGATACTGGGAACATTTAAGTGTTTATTTATAGATAATTAAATAAATGTCAAGGACTTTGTGTATTAGGAAACTTTGCCATTTGGAGATTCATGAGTATCTGTAACATTGTAATTGTTATTTTATTTTATATTATATATATATATAATGTAAATATTATATTATGTATAAATCTTTGATCTGTACTGTCTATAAAGAACACATCTTATTGGATAAAGTGAGTACAATTGTTTATGGACTAAGTCATTTAAATTTGGATAGGCCAAAAATGTTTTTTGTGTGCTAATAGTTTTTAAATCGTATTTGTAAGATTGCTGTTCAATATATGTTCTTCATTTTACAGAACAAATTCCAAGGATGTATATTTGATATGGTGACAAAACAAGCTTTTGATATTACTATCATGGTACTTATCTGTCTTAACATGGTAACCATGATGGTAGAAAAAGATGAACAAAGTCCAACCATGACCAGTGTTCTATACTGGATAAATATGGTTTTTATTATCTTATTCACTGGAGAATTTGTGCTGAAGCTAATCTCCCTCCGCCATTATTATTTCACTATTGGATGGAACATTTTTGATTTTGTGGTGGTCATTCTGTCCATTGTAGGTAAGAAACGTTACAGTATCGGGTATTCATTTAGATATATCATAAAGGCACAGTAGGTCAGAGGATCCCTATTTGGGAATCTTTCTTTTGAAAAATACTCTCTGCTAATGTGAAGGATAAAGGACCATTTTAATTTGTTTCCAGTCCTATATTTTTATTTCTGTAGCATGTCCAAACCTGGCCACTAGTGACTGCTACCCTAAGGTCAAGGTCATAATGAGTATGGGTAAATTTCCATGCAAAAGTTATACCTCACAGGCACCAACCAATGTGTTTCTTTTATGAGTTTATTAGAGGACTTCAAAACAAAGGGCAATTAAATTGCATAGCGAGAAAACGAATGAATGAATTTTAAAGCATTTGAAGTACTTATTATGTGTCAATCGCAGTGTGACAAGTATTAAGTATTAAAAAAAAGCCAACAGTCTCTGTCCTCAGGGATCTTGCAGTCTAATGAAGGGAAGATAGCACATATATGGAAACTAGAATTAGAAAAGAGAATGGGGAGGTGGGTAGGGGAGTTGTGAGCCTAGAGTGTGCCCATTGTGGAATGATCTGGAGGCTGACAAGAGCATGGTGAGCCTGAATCCAAGGAAGATGAAGTGAAAGCTTACTAATCAAATCTCAGGCTCCTAAGAGAACCTGGAGAGGAAGAGTCCTGAGAATAAACACAGTGGATAGAGCTCTGGGCCTAAAGTCAAGGAAAGCTGAGTTCAATTATAGCCTCAACTACCTACTAGATGTATGACCCTGGACAAATCTCTTAACCTCTGTCTGCCTCAGTTTCTTTGGCTGTACAATGGTGATAATAATAATACCTACTTCCCAGGGTTGTGAGGATCAAATGAGAAAATATTTGTAAAGCTCTTAGCACAATGGCTTTTACATAGTAGCTATTTAATAAACACTTATTCCTCTCCTCCAGGAAATAGTCAATTTGTCAATCAATCATTTACACAGATTAGCAGATTGCCCCTCTGTGATGCCCCTTCCATCACTTACCTTCAACATCTCTCTGTCTATTGATTGCTTCTTTACTACCTACAGACATGCCCACATCTCCTCCGTCCTCAAAAAACCCTCAGTTCATCCATCCATCCTTAAAAGCCATTATCCTGTATCTCCACTTTTCTGGCTGAAATACTTTAAAAAGTCATCTAAACTAGCTACCTCCACTTCCTTTTCTCTCACTTTCCTTAACTCTTTATAGTCTAACTTATGACCTTATTCAACCAAGCCTGACCTCTCCAAAGTTACTAACAATCTCTTAATTGCCAAATCTAAACTTTGGGTCCATGGATGTATTTTATGGGATCCAAAAACTGGTATGAGAAAAAAGTTATATCTTTTTTCACTAATCTTTGGTTTCCTTTGTAATGCTATTTTTTCTTTTTCTTTTAATTCTGTATTTAAAAGTATGATTCTGATAAGGGCTTTACCAGTCTGCCGCAGAGGTCCACGATGTAAAAAAAGGTTAAGAATCCCTGACCTAGAGGATGGTTTTCATCAAATTGGATAAGTGCTCTGTAGAGGATTATGGAAAGGGGGTTAAACAGGATGAGAAGATGTGCAGCAGTAAAGTTATGACCTGCCCTGATAGAAAATTACCCCATACGATTGAAATTACAGATTAATCCAGAAAACAGAATTAGGACAACTGGTTGAAGTGAAATATGTTTGTCTTGGTATGTAGAGTGTCCCAAAAGTCATAGCGCAATTTTAAGCTTTAGCAGCTTAAAACTAGACTATACTTAGAAAAAGGCACTACTAAAATTTTTGGGACATCTTGTATAGAGCTTATTAACAATGAGAAGTATCAGAAACTTGGAGGAACTTCTTTGTAATTCAGTTTAGTTTAACAAACCAAATTAAGTGCTACTATGGGCAAGATAGCCCCATTTTTGGTAATGATCCAGAAGAAGTTGGATGACTAACTTTCAGGTATGTAGTAGAGTAGATTCTTGCATTGTGAAATGACCTTCAATGTCTTTTAACTCTGAAATTCTAGGAGGTATTTGTAAAGCAACATAATGTTTCCAGAATTTGTGGTTCCTGATTTTTTTTCCAGTAACCAACACTAAAATTTCACCATAGTATTGCCATTGAAGGCACACAGTAGAAGGCCATGGAAAATGCTGCAATTTCTATTGAAAGGTTAGAGTTAGAACTCCAGAGGCAAGGAAAAATTTGATATTCTTAGCCCAGGGAATCAAAGATAAAAGGAAAAATGTTTTACCCTCATGAGGATGTCATAGTGTATGCAACTACATTTAAATATTTTCTGTTTTATGCTCTTTAACAGGTATGTTTCTAGCTGATATAATAGAAAAATATTTCGTGTCTCCTACCCTGTTTCGTGTGATCCGGCTTGCCAGGATTGGACGAATCCTTCGTCTCATTAAAGGGGCAAAGGGGATTCGCACACTGCTCTTTGCTTTGATGATGTCCCTTCCTGCTCTGTTTAACATTGGTCTCCTCCTCTTCCTGGTCATGTTTATCTATGCCATCTTTGGAATGTCCAACTTCGCCTATGTTAAAAAAGAAGCTGGAATTAATGACATGTTCAACTTTGAAACCTTTGGCAACAGCATGATCTGCCTCTTCCAGATTACCACATCAGCTGGTTGGGATGGTTTGCTTGCACCCATTCTTAACAGTGGACCACCAGATTGTGACCCCGAAAAAATTCACCCTGGAAGTTCAGTCAAAGGAGATTGTGGCAACTCCTCTGTTGGGATTTTCTATTTTGTCAGTTACATCATCATCTCATTCCTGGTGGTTGTAAACATGTACATTGCTGTTATCCTGGAGAACTTCAGTGTTGCTACTGAAGAGAGTGCAGAGCCACTAAGTGAGGATGACTTTGAGATGTTCTACGAGGTTTGGGAGAAGTTTGATCCTGATGCCACCCAGTTCATAGAATACAGTAAACTCTCTGATTTTGCAGCTTCGTTAGATCCACCTCTTCATATAGCAAAACCAAATAAAGTCCAGCTTATAGCCATGGATCTACCCATGGTAAATGGGGATCGAATTCACTGCCTTGACATCTTATTTGCTTTTACAAAACGTGTGTTGGGTGAAAGTGAAGAGATGGACACCCTTCGTTTACAGATGGAAGAGCGGTTTGTGGCTGCAAATCCTTCTAAAGTTTCTTATGAACCCATTACCACTACTCTAAAACGAAAACAAGAGGAAGTGTCAGCTACAATCATTCAGCGAGCATTTAGACGTTATCGCTTAAGACAAAATGTCAAAAACATATCAGGCATATATAACAAAGGTGATGAAAGAGTTGATCTGCCTATGAAAGAAGATGTGCTCTTTGGTAAGGGTAACGGAAACTCAACTCCAGAGAAAACAGATGATGTGACTCCCTCTACCACCTCTCCACCTTCTTATGATAGTGTGACAAAGCGAGACAAAGAGAAATATGAAAAAGACAAAACAGAAAAGGAAGACAAAGACAAAGATGGCAGGGAAGGCAATAAGTAATGGAGAATTCAGTTTTGCCATCAACAGTTTATAGCTTGGGAAATGCCCTATTATGTCAACAGGACTTTTTGAGGAGGTTTATGCCAAACTGACCGTTTTTTACCATGATAAGCTTAAAGTCAGTACTTCTAATAGCATAGTGACCATTTGTCTAACAGTGATTCTGGAAAAAAATAGGAGCAAATTTGACAAGAGTTTCACTCTTTGCACTGTTAGCTGGTCCTGCAGAAGACAAAAGGTCTTCTCAAAGAATAGGGACTATGACTTAAGGGAGGCAGAATCTAAATTTTCTGCTTTTGGTTGAACATATGTGTATTCAGAACAGTCACAATTCTGTAATCTCATATTTTTTTGGTTCGTTATTCATCATACCCACAAATATACACACAGTAATAATATAGGTAATTGCTCTAAGGGATACATTTCCATTTAGAAAAGCAACAAAGAGAAAAGTATTTGCCTCTCATTCTCTATAACACCAGAATGAAAGTAACCATGATGGCTGAGATTTCTGTTTGTACACTTTTAGCTGCTGCTAAAAGTCTTGCAGTTAACTGTGCGTAAAAGGATTTCTCTATTTTAAGATGCTTAATTTCATTTCATTTTTGCATCAGGACTAGTTGTTTTCAGGCCTGTAAAATCTCAGAGACATCCCTAAATATGTTGGTGGCTGACTTTTGTTAATATATCTCCTGTTTACCCTGAGCAACAAAGAAGTCATCCCCAAAGGTTTGTACTGAGGATCCTATGTCTCTATTTATGCTGTAGTTCTGCACTTTTCACATGTTGTGAAAAGCCAGAGGAGGTCTGCATTACTCACATCAAAATGTATGCAATTTATAGAACAAGGAAGCAATTCTTGAGTGTTTCTTGATTGTTGGAATGAAATATTGCATCTAACTGCCCTAGGAAACCAAGAGTAGCCCAACCATAAATTGCTTCATGACATTATTCATACTTTCTCCTGCAGTATTTCTGGTCAACCCCTCAGCTCTCATCCTCACTGAGATGTGCTTGCTGATATGTACATAGCAATTTGATACCATGGTGCATGTTGAACAAACAGATAAATGACTTGGGCACAGTATTTATTGAGTCAAATATGTACCACCTCATACATAATTGACAAACTTTATATTGGCAACCTGTTGAGCTTCTAATACGAATCAGGGAAGTAAAATTGAAAGATCATTTGGTTGGAAGTTTGAAGATTTTGGTTCCCTAATCCTAGCTCTACCATTAGCGAGCTATGTGACCATGACTGAGTCCTTTACCTAATCTGAGCCTCATCATCCTTTGCAAAATGAGTGGTGGGTTGGCTGATTTTGGAGCTAAGCTATAGCTTGAAAATGCTTTCTCTGACTATATTCTACATTCAGGTTCAGTACAGTACTAGTAGTTTGCAGGTTATAAGAAATGCATGTTTATCTTGCCTGTATTATTGCCATCTCTTTTTCCACTTTTCAGAGATTTTTCAAGCCCTATCATTAGTGACTTATATTAAAAAAAATGTTCAAATCACTATGTTTTAATAACTTTAAACAACAGGCAAAGAACGATTTTTTTGTATCTAGAGTCACTCATCTAGAGGAAAATAATTGAAGGCCACAGGAGTTTTTAAAAATTATATACAGTTTTGTTTTGTTTTGTTTTTTAACGAGACATGTGTCTCTTTAAATTAAGAGCAAAGAAAATAAGACTGTATTCAATAACCTGTGCTAAAAATGCATATACACACATACATAGAGGACCACTAAGCCGCCTTCATAGAAAGAGAGACAGATACGGATATGCAGAAAAATGGACTTTCATGGAATAATAGCCCCAATTCCCATGTTATGGTCCTTTAAGATTATTACCACTTGAGACTTTTACAGTTATGTTGTATTTTTGCAACTCTAGGGTTATAAAGTATCACATAGGCCTGATGAAATTAAGCCCAAGATACAGTGGTTCCCACTTTTATTTAAGCAATTATGTCAGCAACATTTTTTAAAATAGACACCATGCAGTGTTTTCCTAAACTTCACAGGGCATTGCATACCTGCTTAGCTTATTAAAATAGATTGATAATTTTATAAAATAATTTATAAAGATGATAATTTTTAGTGTTTTGTACATTCAAACTATCACCTTTTATTTATGCTTAAAGTTTCTTCTCATTGTTTTAAAGCTATATACATATTTAATTGAGAAAATTTAATACACAATAAAAAGTTATATGTTTCTTTCATTGTCGACGTTCTTACATTGCACCATTTTAATGTGAACAACTTTGAGACTGGGACTTCAGTTCATGGACTTCTTGGAAATCACATTGGAAAAGGAAAAGTTTCAAGTCCTTTTCCTGATTTCATAAATGGGAAAATGGGTAGATTATGCAAATTTTTGCCCCAGTAATACAAACTGAAAGAGGCATTATGATATAGAGGGTAAAGAGCTGGCCAGAAAAACAGGGTTCAGCTCCTGCCCCTAACACTTACTGGCTTTGTGACCTGGGGATTAACTTAACAGCTCAGTGACCCATGGCAATTCTCTAAGATATAAATTGGAGAGAGCGTGCCAATCTTCATTGGTAGTAGACATACTTCACTGGGAACTTCTTATGCCAATGAAATCACAGGTCCATTAAAATTTATGTATATATGTAAAAACTATATGTATATTATATATATATATATATATATAAATATATACATGTATACATACACATACATATATACATTCATATGGAGTATGAATATGTTTGCATATATGTTTATGTATAAGTTGCATGTGTATACATATGTACATATATAATAGTGGCCTTCTACTGATAATTGATAGTTATAGTTGAAGCTTTGGTGATTTGTAACACAAATAAAAAGTAAATTTAGACTAATCTTTTAATTTAGACTATCATTTTTTTAAAATGTTAACTGCCTGCAGGAGACACTGCCACACATATGGCTAACATATATTATCCTTAGACTGACTTAAAGAATCATGGCTATATCTTCATTACATTTTCTTATTTGTTTTCATTATTATCAAAAATAACATGACACAGTAAAGGGGCTACTATACATAAAAAGGTAACTTTAAATGGAAAGCAGACTGATTTGTAGAATGAGGCTGTTCATCTCTAGAGCATCCATTTGAATATATTGCGAAGATGAAAGCAAGTGAAGCTGTTTGTTCTTCATGACTGACACATGATTTGGGCAAGGAAATTGATGATCTTTGTTCTCTCCCTAATGGATGTGTGTCCAAATCCCTCCCTCACCCTAAAGCTAATAAATTAGTACACTTTAATTTTTTATTATTAAAGTGAGTAATGGCGAAAAGGACCTAGTAAAATGGAACTGAGAATAAGCTATCCAGCTAGAACAGAAAGCCAAATAATATGTTGGGACTAACAGAGCAAAAAAATTCAGAAATATCAACATATTCCTTTCATGTAGGCATTATTATTTATTTCCATTATTGTTATATTAAAATATTCTTGACAAACAATAATGAGAAATAGTTTTATGAAAGTAATAAAATGGTCATGAACATAAAATATAACTTTTTTGTGCTATTTACTTAGAATTATGAAATTTTCAAGTCCCTAGCTCTTAAAAAAAAGGGAGGGGGAGTTTGTCGTCAGTAGTATAATAAGCCAATTGTATTTGGACTAACACATTGTAATAGAAAGTGAGAATAAAACCATTAGAAAAATTAAGTCATTCATGTATAAATGTGTCTTCTATTCTAGCAAAAACAATTATAATTTTAATCAGTACTGTTTCTGCCAAAAAGTTTGCTGGTATACACAGAGGCATCTAACCTCACAGCCACTCCCCACTGTAACCTTAACCAGATTAAAATGTAATTGGAAAATGTTTAATAAAATAAAAATACAACATGACATAGATGGTGTTATTTTGTGGTCTTCTAAATCAATATGTAGCCAGCAGAAATCCATTTCTATTTGAGTTGGAAACAACTCCTCTCATGAAAGAAAAAAAAAACAAGCCATTTTGAATTTTTTAAATACATGCATATTTTTTCCTTTACCTTAGGAGCTAAGGAAGATGAGAAAAAAAAATATTGTTTTATGATTCATAATGGTGAATTTAAAAATGTTGAATAGAATATGAAACCAAGCTGAACTTCATCTGTAAAATACACAAGTCACATCAATGGACTTAAACTAAGGACTGATTTCTTTCTGCTCACTGTTGAAAGGAATTGATGGATGGAGAGAAGACAGAAAAAATATATACATATATATGTATGTATGTATACACACACGTATGTATATATGCAAAATTATTCTATGCATGCTTCTATTTATCAGTTCTTTCCCTGGATGCAGATAGCGTCTTTCTTCATATGCTCTTTAGAGTTAATCTGAGTATTTGTAATAGTCAAAATTACTTAGTCTCTCAAATTCATTCTTAAAACAATATTGCTGTTACAGTATACAATGTTCTCTTGGTTCTGCTCATTTTGCTCTTCATTATTTCATGCAAATCTTTCCATGTTTTTTAAAATATAATTGAACTCGTCATTTCTTATAGCACAGTACTATTCTATCAAAATCATATACCACAACTTGTTCAGCTTTGGAAATAGACCTAGTAGTGGTATTTCTGGGTCAAAGGCAGTTTAATAACTCTTTGGGCATAATTCCCAATTTGCTCTCCAAAATGGTTTAATCAGTTCACAATTCCACCAACAATGAATTAGTATTCCAATTTTTCCACATCCCCTCCAACCTTCACCTTTAATCGTTTTAGCCAACCTGATAGGTGTTTTCACATCTTTCTTAAATGTAGCTCGTGCTCACATTAACCTTTGGGGTTGCTATATCACAGTTTACACACAGTGAGCTTACAGGACTCTAAAACTTCCAGATCTTTTTCAGCAAAATTATCTAGCTGTTCCTTCCCCACCTTTAATCTGTGAATGTGACTTGTTTTTAAGTCACATAAGACCTCCTTATAATTTTCATTACCAAATTTTATCCTAAAGAGGAAATACAAAAAAGTGGAAAGTGGGGCCAGGATGGGAGTCAGGGAGGCCTGGGTTCAAGTGCCACTCTTAATATATACTGAATGTGAGATTTTGGGCAAATCAACTAAACTCTCAGTGGCCCTGGCAACTCTCTAATACTACAAATTGTCAAACTCCACTTGTAGAGGGTTTTTTTCATTGAATGTTCCCTATATAATGTTAATGATTATAGTAATAATAATTGCTAATATTTACATAGTGCTTTAAGCTTTGCAAACGTATCATTTTGTCCTCATGAGGACCCTAGGAAGTAGATGCTATTATCATCATCTTACAGTTGAGGAAACTGATGCAAATAGATTTAATCGACCCATCCCGTCATACAGCTACTAAATATCTGATGCAGAATTTGAACTCAGATCCTCCTGACTTCAGGGCCAGCACTTTACCCACTGCAATATTTATCTGCATCAACGAAATCACAATCCCCTAATCTCCATCTCCCAAAGTTCATCTCATTATATTTGGACTAATGTTTTTACTATAAATCTTTTTTAAAATTCTGTTATTTGTAATCTACCCCCACCCTGACCCTTCAGTTTTTCATGGCATCTACAAATATGCTAAAGATGCCATCTGTACCTTTATTTTATCAAATTATCAATAAAAAAAATACAAGTAACATAGGAACAAACATAGAACTCTAGATCATTCTCCTGGAGACCTCCTTTTAAGTTCACATTGAACCATTATTAGTTTGCATTGTTATGAGGGTACAGTGTTACTCCTATAAAGTTCAGGTAACTCTCAATTAACCACAGGTGAATTATCTGTAACATGATTTCCTCTTTTCTTGGAATCATAAGTCCTTGCCTTAATTACAACCAAGCTGTGTAATCCAGGGCAATATATTTAATCTCTCTGAGTCAAAGGTCTTTATTTCATACCATAGGCTAAATAGTAGTTGGCCTACCTACCTCCTGATTTGTTGTTGTTTTTTGTTTTTTAAAGAAAACACTTGGGAAAACTTCAAGTGTTATATAAATGCAAATTATTCATAGTATCCTTTCCCCCAGGGCTCACTAGTCCCCTTAGCCCCCTCCTATTCCTCTAAACTATAGGCTCAAAATAATTCAATAGTAACTTAATAAAATTTAATTAGGAAGGCAAATGTGACCTCAACTTCAAGATAAAAACCTCAAATGCTTTGTTGATTATATACCTCACCAATGCCTTCTTTTTGGCAAAGAAAATGGGGGAGGGTAGAAAAAACAAACCTTTTTAGTTTGTTTCTGATTACTTATCTTTCCTAATACGCTAATGAAATGAATATACCCTAAAGCCAGACCCACTTGGTATCTATTACTCAGAAAGGTATCTATTTGTTCTTTCAAATGTTTGAATCTTGGCACTGGAAAAGAGTTTTGCTTTTTGGACTAATCAATCAACAAATGTTTATTAAGTGCCTATTCCCCAGCAGGCCCCAAGGTAGGTACTAGAGACAAAGATATATATGACTCAGTCCGTGGTTCAACACAAAGAGTCCAGTCTTCTCTGCAGCCTAGGAACCCACCACCTAACAGGGCTCTCCATCATAACACATAACAAGTTTACTGAAGCTGTATTAATGTGATTTCTCACAGAGAATAACTACCATTTATTTCTGTGATAGCTGTATGATCAGCACCCCTGTCTCCCCATCCTCATATACGCCTCTGTGATCTAATTCCTGACCCCAGAATCTATGCCACAAAAATCAATTTATAGCTGGACAAACAGATTATGCTGCAGTATAACCCAAACAAAATGACCTGCAGTTCTACATTACCATTCCTGGGGTGGGGAAGGGATGTTCGGCAGGGTTCAGGTCACGTGATCTCTGCAGCAATGTCATCAAATGCACATAGGAAAGGAGACATGAATAATGTACAGTTATAAACAAGAGGCTGTATCAAACACCCCACACTTCACTATATTCCCTAATGCTTTGTAAGGGAAGTAATTGGAGATCTCCATTAGCAATTGATCTGTACGGGAAGGAAGCTAATTTTAAAAGCACTGTGAGGCCTCAACAAGTTCCCTTTTCAGCTAATAAATGGAAAAGATAGAGAAAAATCAGGCTATCTGATTTGCCAGTGCAGGGTTTCTCCTGCAATTGAATTGTATGTTGCCAGAATCTCCTCTCTCCCATCAACTAATGATTGAATAGCAGCTCTGGTTTAAAAATTAATCTACACGTATAAAAGGGTC